CATCTGCAGGTTTCCAGAAGCACTTCGGGCTCAGCTACAGGTCCATACAATGGGCCTTCCAGCCTGGAAGCCACTCAGTGTGAAAGCAGGGAGACAATACTCTGGTCCAGGCTTTTCAGGCTGTCACACTTACCTCCCTCAAGCCCAGAGAAGAACAAATGGGCCACAGAGACTACCCTGAGGTACCTTGCCACCACAGAGCATGGCCTACGGTGTACCTTGGCCACAAGAAGATGTCAGACAATGAGCTAAGGTCCACAGAGATGCCCTCCATCAGAGAAAACTCCATGAGGTAAGCCCTGGACCACAGGAGGTCCACCCTTAACCACAGACAATTCCCTGAGGTGTACCCTGATCCACAGACAACACTCTGAACCACAGGACCAGCCAAGTGTGGGTGTGCAGAGGGCCAACATGCTTTGGACCAATGACCAGTACAGCTTTGGCCAGAAATCACAGCTCTAGAGACCAAGCACAAAGATGGCCAGAGGGTGTGATCCCATTATATCCAAAGAGCCTCCAAACTTTGATTCTGACCACCACTGTTCCTGGGGTGTCAAGGGAGGGATTTGTCGGCCAGGGGGCCTGGAATAGTTCCTCTAGCCTAGGAGCCACCATCACAGCTTGGCTTTTCCCACCTTTTTATGCATGGAGGAACAAGAAGGAAAGGGAGGTCCTCATACTAACAGAGGAGTGTGTGATGCATTTGAACTCCAGCTCTGTCACAGACTTCACCTCTGTGCCTCAGTTTTCTCATCTATACAAAGGAGATGGATACTTAAACAGTGCCTGCCATACAGCAGCTACTCCGTGTTAGCCATTGTGACCATTACTTGCCAAACTTCCAGTAAGCCAGGGAACTGGGAGAGAGTAGTTTCAGCCCAGAGACCCCCTGGGACACCTCGCTGCCATCCAGTAAAGGTTAGCAGACAATCACTGCATCTCGTATATAAATAACCCCCTGGGCCCAGACCTGTGGGAATGGAGGCCAGTCAGCACTGCTCCAACGGGGGACGTCCTGCCAGCTTCTAGCAGACTGCCGGTGAAGGGTCTGAGGACCAGGCCTGGGCAGCTCAGGCTCCATCACCCAGCTCCTGACCGGTATGTAGACTCTTAGCCCCAAACCTTCCTCAGTGGCCCTAGATGCGCTCATATCCAGGACCCCGAGTCCACGAGGGTGGTCCATCCTCAGAGCCTGGTCACCCCGCTCCACCCAACCCCCATCACTGCTCTTTCAGCCACGTCTGTGGCAGCCCCCTCAAGACCCCAGCTAGCGATTCCTGGCAGAGCTCTCTGCTCCCGAGGCAGGCACTCCTGCTTCCTGAACAGGCCCTGCTCGCCCCCAGAGCGCCACACCACCCCTCCTTACATGGAGGCCACCCTCATTTCATGACATTTTCTGGGATCCGTCATGCCGTCCTCCTGCCTGCCTCTCCATGTGCTGAGCTGTGTCCTCCTTTTAAAGGCCCCAGTCCTGCTTCTCTGGCCTCCCCCCCCCCCAAGTTCTATCTGGCCTATAAGAGGCAGCTCCGTGTGAAATAGGAGCCTCCCCTCTGGCCCCCCACCCCCCAGCCCCAGGGTCTCCGCCATCACAATTCTGGTTGTATCACAGAGGACGCCCAGCTTCCCGTCTCAGCATCGTGGACACCCAGTCTGTGTGAATCCCCTGCTCACCTCCACGCACACACCCCTGACAGGAGTGAATGGACCTCAGCCTTGTACAGCCAGGGCCAGTGGGTTGACTACAGACGTGCTCCACAGAACCCCCAAACTAAAGCACAGAGAGGACTGACAGAGGCTTCCTTTGTTAAAAGACAGCAAACTGTTAGATTTCAAAAATAACTTAAGACAAAATTTCTTTTTTACTCTCGAGCAAGAAGGCAGGCATTGCCAAATCTATTTAGAGGGTTCACCAAAAGGCTGCTAACCCCTGCCGGTGGCCCTGGGACCAGCACGAGGCTCCACACTGGAGACCCCTGATTCTGGGGGTTGCTGGCCAAGATCAGGGGCTCTGCCAAGAGGAGGAAAGGACGCCCCTGGGTCCAGAGGAGAGGCTGGTCCCCCAGGCCTGGCCTGCTCACAGCGTCTCCATCCCTGGGCTCCGCCTGCAACCTGTCAGCCCCCACCCATGCTGCCTGCTTGTAGGGACTCGTTTTAATTAATGCCAGAGCAGGGCCAACCACTGCGGCCGTGACACTTGTTTGCAGGTCATCTCCTCCTAACTGGCTCGCCCTGAGAGGGGATTTGTCACTAATTGAAGCAGAGATCAGTTAATGAGGCCGCAGGGCCTGGGGTTCCAGAGAACAAGGGAGAGGAAAATAAAATAAGGCCTCTTTCTTGGGCGGTTTTGTGATTTACACACACAAAAGAAAAGCAAGCAAGCTGCAGATTTTCCAAGTCAGAAGCTCCGCTCCATCTGCCCGAGTTAGACCCTCACTGTGTGAAGACATCAGGCAGCGGGCCGCCGCTGCTGAGCCTGGTGGATGGAGACGAGAGGGGCTCCCCAGGCAGGCAATCAATCAGCAACCTAATTAGCAAGTATTTATGGAGCAGAGCGCCTAGCCCCTCGGTGGGGGAGAAGGCACAGGCCTGTCCCTGGTTCACTCTCGATGCAGTGGAACAAGAGGATGGGACACAGCGTGTCTGGGTGAGTGTGTGGGAGAGCAGAAGTTTCTAGGACATGGGACTGGGAAGAAAGCATGGGCTATTAGGCGAAACCCCATAAGGCTCTCAGCTAGGCAGAGGAGGAAGGAGGGTGTCCCCAGCACGGTCTCAGCCTTTGGGGGCCATGACAGCTCAGTGGAGGGTGGGGATCCCTCCAGTTGGGACCCTGACTCAGAGCTGTGAGGCTGAATTCACGTCCCCAGTAACTCAGTGGACTGGGCCTCAGGCCCCACACCCCACTATCTGTGGAGATGGGATGACTGAGCTGGGACACTGAGGACAGGGGAGCCGAGAGCCCTGAGTCCTAGGAAGAAGCTATGTCTGATCCCAGAACCCTAGGCCTGCAGGAGATACTGTGCTACCCTAGGACAGTGAGCCCCTTCGGCAAGTCCTTGCCAGTCAGGGCATGCAATCTTCCCCCAGAAGCTCCCTCCTCCCAGGTCCCATCTCACCCCTAAATCTAAAAGACAGAAAATGGGATTTTCTAGATCTAGTTTTCAAGATCTCAGAACTAGGAAGAATCATGGAGTCCTCTTGTCACCAGGACCAAGGAAGAGGTGACAGTCCCCTCTCAAGAGTCCTGGGCCTTGACCAACAACCCCCAAAATCAGCAATCCACACTTTGTACAACCCCAGATTAAGTCTCAAGCCAGTTGCAGGGCCCAGGGTGTGGTTAGCAATGTCTTGGTGAGCTATCCAAATAATTTTGGCAATGTCTGGCTTCTTGCTTGGGTAAGACTTTTTTTTTAAGATTTATTTATTCAAGCATATAAGAACTGGGGTATAGGCCAGGGTGTGGGAAATGAGAAGATTCACCAGAGACAGAGTGGGGAGCAGACCAGGCAGATTGGCAAAGTACACTGCTGAGGGGAGCAGTGGGTGAGACAGGAGAGGTCTGTCACGCCATGTGGGTCACCTCCCTGGCAGGGTGTTGAACTGGTGCTGCAGTGGCTGCAGACAGTTTCAAAGTGCTGTGGTTTAGCCCACTGCACTAGCAGGGAGGGCCTTGGGTAAGACATTCAGAGGAGATCAACTTGGATATGAAACCTAACAGCTATTAGGAGATCACCTGGTCTCCTTGGAGCAGAGTAAATGAGGCCATTTCAGAAGAACTTCAAATCTTCTTAGAGAAGAACAATGAAATAAATCATGGTGGATGGTACATGGGTTAGCATAAAGCTGTGAAAAGTTATATTTATTTAATGACACAGGAAAGATAAGGAAAGTGGTTTTTAAGAAAAGACTACTAATGTGAATGCTTTCACTGCATGTGATTTTTTTCTTTTTATTTATTCATACAGAACTGGGGTACAGGTCAGAGACGCGGAGGGTGAGAAGATTCACCAGAGACAGAGTGGGGAGCAGAACAGGCAGATCGACGAAGTACACTGCTGAGGGGAGCAGCAGGTCAGGAGAGGTCTGCCTCGCCATGTGGTCACCTCCGGGGCAGGCGGGAATCGAACTCATGCAGAGGGGGCTTAAGCTTCTTAGTGCTGTGCTTTAACCCGCTGCGCCACCAGGGAGGGCCGCATGTGATTTTTTAAAAATTTGATTTGAACATGATTTTATCATGAATGGGATAAAATAACTGAGCCGTGAAGTGGCCTTTACCAACTGAAGCTATAGAAGACCACCCAGCTGGGCTCAGGGTTGAGATGAGTGTAGACAAGATCTAGTCTTGGGGCTTGAGCCTCTGCTCTGGCTCTGGCTCAGGCTTCTCCCTGTGTCCTCTGCCCTCTGTCCTCATCTGAGACCCATCCTTAGGCTCACCTATTTGGACTACAAATCTCCTCTATTTATTAGCTGTTCTTTCTCAAAGTTCTGGGGGATTCAAAATGAGCCTATCACCCCTGTCTTGAGGACTGGCCCACATGGCCAAGGCGTCTGACGTGGGACAGCCATGCCCAGGAAACCAGACACAGAGCAAAGGGAGCTGGCACCTGGGTGGCTCTTGCAGAATTGTTCCTGTGCCCTTCCCCCTGCCCCGCCCCTGCTCCCGGTCCCCACAATCTCCAGGTTACTGAGGATGAAGCTCAGATCCTCTGAGAAGAGTGCTGGATAAGCGTGAACCACCTAGGGTCAGGCGTCTGCCCCGGGGGTGTGGGTGGGGACAGCAGCCCTTCACAGGCACCTTCCCGCCCTTCCTGCCTTCCCAAACCTGGAGCAGACTGGTGCCTCCTCATTAAAGTGTCACCAGCCTCTACTCTCTTCTCTGCCTGGAAAGTCTGCTGACCACCCATTCACAGAAATCTGTTTCCACACCCTTTGTCAGGCCTGACCTAAGATAGCCCCCCGCCCCTGAGCCCCAGATGGAGAGGGAGGGGGAGGCTACTCACAGCAATGGAGACGGCACTGATGACAGCCCCCAGGTAGCCCTGGATGAACTTGGATGCAGGAGAAGGCTGGAAGACAGAGGCAGAAATTCAGGCCCACACTTTGCTCTCTGGTGACAGACAGCCCTAGCCAGGAGGTGAGGGGAGAAAGAACAGAGGCCCCTCTGGAAGTCAGAGGGCTGCAGGCAGCCCTCAGTACAATTCCACATGAGGAAACACAAGGCAGCAATGTGCAGGGAGATGCCGAGGCCCAGGGCACTGCCCTGGTCTGGGTGAAGGCAGGAATTGCAAGGGCCCAGAGGGGCTGCGTATAGCCGCAGCAAGCAGGCTCCAGTCTGGGAAGACCAAACGCCACAAGTGGACTGTTTGACGCCCAGTGCACTCTCTAGGTGGAAACGGCAGTGCCAAGGCTGGTGACAGGCCAGTGGTTCCTGCAGGACTTGTCAACCCCGGCAGCACAGGGCTTCCAGGCCTGTGGATGAAGAGAAGCTCGACATTTCTATGGGAAAAAATGTACTCAAAGTTGCAATGGGGAAGCTTAGGAAAGAGCTGAGGAAATTGAGGCAATTTGGAGGAGTGTTTGGTTTAAGCTCAAGGGGAAACATCTGAGTGGAGAAGCACAAGTGTGAAGTATGGGAATGAGACATGGATTGAAGGGCTGCTGAGGTGACTGGTGTGGGAATTGGGCGCCCCTGAGTAGAAGGCCCTGAAGTTCCAGCTGAAGGGCCAGCTCCTAACTGCTGTACTCTTCTCCCCAGGGCATAGGAAATGCCCAGACCTTCCCCAGCTAACTAACAGCCCCCAAGGGGACTTAAACTCTTCCACCCCTCTCTCTGCTTCTGGGCTGAAGTGCAAAGAAACCACCAGGAGGAAGCCTGGTGCGGAGAAGCAGGGCCCAGCCCCTTCCTGGACAACAGTCGCTCATCCCAGAAGTGCAGGGACTTGGGGAGGAACCAGGCCCCCCAAATCCCTTACCCTTCAGCTTTGGGGTCAGTGGTCTGGATGTATGGAGGCAGCTTCCAGGCAAGCTTGGGGGAAGCTTTAATGGAATTCAGTGCTCATGTGGCTTACAGTGACCCATCCAAGATTTGAAATCTGAGCTTCCCAAAAAGAACTCTGAAGCCATCAGAGCTCATCCCTCTCACTGCCCCCACCATGTTTCCATTTGGGGGGGCCTTTCCTTTTCAGGTAAAAATCCCCTCCCAGCTGACAGGGCCCTGCAGAAGGGTTGACAGCTTAAATAAGGTGGCTAGAAAGGCCAATGCTTCCGAGGGGAGCCAGCGCTGGCACACTGTGGGGAGAATGAGGGCCGCCCCGCCTGGACCCTGCCCTGGGCCTATGGTTCCCATAGCTTACCTTGGTAGCATTGCGGTTTGCATAGTTGACACAAGCATTGTGGCTCTGGTTCAGCCACTGAAAGGCAACAGAGAAGAGAATCAGGGGCAGGAAGGTCACCTCCCTGGAAGCCAGGCCTGGGCCCTAAGAAGCTACACCCTCTAGAAAGATGTGGGGCATGTCTGGAGCTCACAGGTGGTCCCATGAGTTAACACGACCAACTATGTTGGGCTGTGCTGGTTTTAGCACATAAAGTCCCTAGTCGGGAAACACCTCAGTCACTGGCAAACCAGACACTGGCCCCACCCAGCCAGCAGTCCACCCCAGTTCAGTGTCACCACCCTCAGAATTATAGCATCCACTGCCCTGCAACATTTGCCACACCATCCTTTTATTACTTACTGGACAGAAGGTGGACATTGAGGCTCCTGGAATGACTAGCAACACTAAATCTTTCAAAAATATCCCAACCCAGTGTCTCACACCCCCTACTGCACCCAGGCAGACACTGTTCAGGGCTTTGTCAAGGCAAGACTGGCATTTCTCCTCAGACAGGTAGACAAATGGGCACACACACACACACGTGTGTGTATGCACAGCTGCAGCTTTGTAGAGAACTACAATCTGACCCCCAGAGTGGAAGCCAGACCTTAAGCTTTTTCACCCACCTCACTACTGTGGGGCCAGGACTAAATTTACCTTCTCCACAAATTCAGGAGATACTGATGTCAAAAAGAGGCTGTGAGCTTTAAGTTCACTGGCCATGGACAAGCAACCACAGGCAGAAGTGGCCACCAATGAGCCATCCAGGTGAGGCACACACCTGGCCCACCTCACCACTGGCCCTATGGGCTGCTGGGGACCTGCTCTAAGTCCAGGGGTTCCTGGGTCAGTGAGGGGCAGGAAGTAGGGTGACTTTCCCCAGGGAACCTGGACAGGAGAGGATACCCCAGGGCAAGCTCCTGGGTCCTTCCATCAGGAGCATCTGCTTGCTGGGCTTACCTGCCAGAAGACAGTGGATGCCAGTGTCTGGTTGGGCAAGAGGAGACCGACCACCTACAAGTGAGGGAGAGAGAGAGTGGAAAGGCTGAGGAAGGCAAAGGAAACACCTTCCACTTTTGCCAAGAAAATGGACACAACCAGAGACAAAGGTGAGCTGAATCTGTGCAAACTGATGAGGATGATGCAGCCAAACCCTCTGGTGCCCACAGTGGGCAGTTTTGTTTGCCCAGCAGATAAAACCCAGATGCAGAATTATACTAGAGCATAATCCCATTTTTGTAAAGAAAAAATTCTCACTTTATATATAACCATGTACACAAACATGCACATAAATATATCTCCAAGTACAAAAAAAATCTGAGGCCCAGCCTGGAGATGTGTCTGGAGGTCATGTTGCACAGTATTTTTTCACATTCTTAGATATTTCTGTTTCTTTTTAGTGGTGACATGCATTGTTGCCACTAGTGAAGGGAAGCGGAAAAATAAAAAAAAAAAGATGCAAGGAAAAGGAACATCTTCACTTCGCTTTAGCTGACCCTGCTCCTTCACTCCCTAGGATCCAGAAGGATTTTTGTGAGGACTGAGTAGCAATCATTTCTAAGGTGTTAAAGTGCTTTGCAAATACAAGTTGGGGGGGGGGGTTGTATCGGAGTCCCTGTGAAGTAAAACCTACACCATGTTGAAGCTATTGAGTGAAGCACAGATGTCTACTCAATTTGATGAATGAGCAAATACACAGTGGCTAAGTTGGTGACATAGGTGTGGATTCCTTATTACTAAAGCCCAAATACCACCTCAGACCTAGGTTCGCTGCCTGGTTGTTGTGGTGGAGTTCTTTGGGCCTCTGTGTGTGTGTGTGTGTGTGTGTGCGGTTTAAGCCAAGATTAGCTATCTGAACTTGACACTGGCCAAACCTTGGACTTTAGGGACCCATGTGAACCTCTCAAGCTTATGTTTTGAATGTTTAGGCGCAAAATTACATCTATCAAGTACCGCTGCATATGGAAAAAATGTGCACAATCATCCACATATTGACTTATTTATTATTCCTGTAGATAAAATGACTCTTTGGCAAGAATTTCTGTAAGGAACAAGGATAAACATTCAATACTATGCAGTAAATCAAATTCTAGACATCCTTAGCAGCATTAGTAAATCATGTTTTAAACATTAAAATGTTTTAAAACAGCGAACATGCATACACATTTATATTTATTGGCCCATATCAGTTTGAATAAAATTATATGATGTAAAACCATTCCATAGCTCCAATAAGGAATGATAAGATTCTTTTCCTAAAAATGAGATCTCAAATTTTCATTTATCTTTATTTATTTTTGCACTGACAGTTTAGAGTACTGGAGTGAATCAGGAAACCTTAGGTCTTAGCCTCAGCTGATCCTTTTAGGGTGTCCCTTCGGGGGCTCTAGCTTTCTTACCCATAAAGTGAAGGAGTTGGCCTGGGAAGTCTTGCTGTGGTTTCAAATTCTATCTCCACGTTCCAAGGTGCAGGCGTGAAGTTGATAGAGAGACCCCTATATGGACTATATGTGGTCTTATGCCAGGATCTCCTCTGACCTGACAGAAGTATCCTGGACCCAGCGCCACATGCTATTGCCCCAGCTGCCAGCAGACCACAGCGTGGAAGTTGAGCCTAAGAGGCCTGAAGCTGGGAGCAGAGCATGCAGGGGTGTGTGTTGGTGTGCGCACACATGCAGACGGGGTGTGTGGCTACTGCTCCCAAAGCCTGTGGAAAGGCAAGCTGCTCTCTATCATTGGGATTATGTCGTCCCCCCTAACCTGTCAGTTTTTGTAACAGGGCTATGTTACAGAAGACAGCACTGTCTTCTTCTACTCAATCCCATGCTTGGCCACCAGGCACATCAGCAGATACAGTCGCAAGGGACTCGCTGTATTTACCAGGTAGTTGTTATCCAGGACACTCACTTCTCACTATATCAGAGGATTCCCCATTGGGTCTTCTCAAGGAAAATTTCTCTGGCTTTATGATCAGAGATTGTAGTTCTGAACAACCGTTTTGATTAGCATCTGTCTTGCAGATGTCGGCATGTAACAGAGTGGATCTTTGCACTGACTCTCGAGAAGCTCAGGCCAGATTTCCATGGTCCACATCTGCCAAGTGACCCTCACTGTGTATATTTCGTGCCCAAACTTCACTCCTCGTTTCATTTTGTCTTTTCTTCTCTAAACTTCCTTTTGTCTCATTGTCATCTTCCCTTGTTTTATCTCATGGTGTGTATTTTTTTAAAAAGTGATGTCTTTCCAGAACTGAAACCAAAGTAGACCTAGGTTATATAGTATACACACACACACACACACACACACACACATTGCACAGGGCTTGTGACCAGTGAAGTTTCATCTTGTTGGCCAACCCACCCCCAAACTCCTACACTAACACAGGAGTAGCCTACTCACTTCTGATTGCTTGTGCTTTCGCAGAGGAAGTATTTACCGCGATTTTGCTAAGCATTTCCCCATATGTCATTTACCACGACCCTTTGAGACTCAGACCAAATAGATATCACCTTCTATATTTTGCAAATGGGGAAACTGAGTCTTAGAGAAAGTGAATGATCTGTCCATGGCTTTACAGCAAGCTAGAAAAAGTTACTTATTCCTGCCTTAGGATCTCCAGCTCTGATTGCAGGGGCTCCTTTTCCTACAGCATCCCCCTGCACACAGAGAAACAATCACTCTCAGTGCTCATTGAGTTTGCCAGTAGAGAATGCCAGAGGAGAGACACACAATGCCTGACCACACAAACACAGACCAAATAGAGAATGTATAATGATGTCTCTTCTAACTGTTGAGAGTTGAAATGACAAGGTGATGTGGTCAGATAGGAGTAGAGTTGGGTGTGTGTAGCGTAGATAAATTCTAACATTCAAGAAGGAGTTTAAGAAGGAAGAGGTCAGTGCGCCTTGGCTATCTGCTGAAGGAGGAGGAAAACTGAATCGGAGTGTGTGTGCGCGCGCGCGCGCGCACGCGAGTGACTGCGCATGAGCTCATGGGAGCAGGCACGGCTGAGACCCGCCTGACTGAAGAAGGAGGCTTGGGAAATTCACAAGCGAGAGTCCAGGCAAGTGCAGTGAGAAGACAGTGGAAGACCTGCTGCCCTGGCCAAAAGGGACTGAGGAATCACTGAGGCTGAGGCGAGAGCAGGGACGCGCCTCCCAGGTCCCACAGGCGGCTGGCGCGGCCAGGAGCACGCCGGTGCCAGCCCCGTTCCCTATTAGGCAACACGCAGCACCATCTGCACAATCCCGGGAGCAAGAGCAGATATTTTATAACTTCCTTTTTTCTTTTTAAGTCTAAATTAAAAATAAATGTTCCTTCAGTTCTCTGATGTATATCTCTGGTGCAACCTGCCCACATTCCCTCACGCTGCCCTTTCCAGAACATGGCGGGGAAAGGGAAGAAAGAGATGGATGGAGAGGGAGCCAGTCCACCCGGCTTCAATGCCAGTGGATTGCACCTCTTCCAAGAGGGAAAAGCTTCAGGCGTGGCCGCGCAGACGGGTGGAGAGAGCCCAGAATGCGGCTGGTACCAGGGAAAGTGGAAGGAGAGCCAACAGCTAGAATTTCCAGCCCAGCCTCCACCCTATCTGCGGAGGACCTTGGCCAAATCACACATCCTATCTTTGCTCCCATTTATAGTTCAAACATGGCTGGGGTCCCCTCCAGAGCTCCTATACTCTGGTAGCTGTCCCCTCTGCACCTCTGCCTACTGCTCCCCTTCCCATGGGCTGCACCACAGACCCTGGCGATCAGCTCTCTGGTCTGGTCACAAGAAGAGCTTGACTCAACCCTGGCTCCTGTATTTACCAGCTTGTCACCATGGGCAGGTGACTGGGCCTCTTTGCGCCTCCACTTTTCGTCTGTGTAATGGGCTGATCCTGGTATAGCTCTGCAGGGCCTTGGGAGGATGTGAGGTGAGGGAAGAACTCAGCACACAGCAAGGGCTCACTCAGTGCCAGTCGTTGCTACTGCTCCCCTCTGCCTCGCTAGCTCTTTTCTCATCTCTCCTGGTCTCTCCTTTCTTGAAACTCCACAGTCTGCATTACACAATTGAGTGTCTGTCATCTTGCTCCTGCCTCATCTTTGAACAAAAGTCTTGTCCCTCAAAGGATTGTGAGCTCCTTAAAGTAGAACTGGGACTTTTCTCCTTCCCGAAGCACTCAGCACAAAACTGGGCCCACACTATAGGCTGGAAGAGCGCCCACTCATGGTTAAGAGTGCTAATTAGATCTTGACCAGAGAAAAGATCTGTGAGGGATGGCGATGACACCATATCCATCTCTCCCTTATGCTTTTCATTAAAGTCTCAATTCATAGGAGTGCTGGGCTTTGAAAGAGGAGCAAATCGAGATTTTGGTCCCAATTCTTCACACGCTCTTCTTGCAACCATCCCATCACCATGTCCTCATCAGGGGAGAATGAGTTTCCTTGTTCTTTTCATTGATGGATCTCAAGAATGGCTTTGGCCAATGACATGTGGGATGGTGGCAGTTTGCGAGGTCCAAGCCCAGGCCCCTAAGGCCTCACGTGTCTCTGCTTAGTCCCTTGTGCTACCAGTACCACACAGGCCCTGAACTGTACTGCTCCAAGGAGGGTGAAAGGTGTGGAGCAGGATGCAGCTGGGGTCAACTGGCTCCCAGTTGACTCCAGAACTGCAGAGAGTAGAGCTGCTTCAGTCAATTCCTGCTTGACCAGTCAAACCCAGGCAACTGTGACCCCTAAGACAAAACACTGGCTGCCACTGAAATGTTGTGGATGCTTGTTACATGGTTCTATCACAGCAGTAGCTAAAAATACAGGCTCACCACCACATACAGAGAGTGCACATGCTATCCTTCCTGGTCGCAAAATCCTGTACCATTGTGCATGCGCCTTGAATTATGTCTTCCTGGGAATGTTGGTTTCTGAACAGCCTTGCTTATCACTCCCCCAAAGCCTCAGGACAACTAGACCACCTCTGAGGCTGCCCTGGGGGTCCAGGAAGGCTGCTTATACTTGAGCATGGTCTCAAGA